AATATAAAAAAATATATAAAAAATCGCAGATAACTTTTTGTCAATTATACACAATTCTCAGTTAAATTATAAGACAATATAGAACAAGCAAAAAGAATAAAATAGTATTATTCCCAGTCAAATGAGTTGAAAAAGAATTGTTAAAAAATTTTTTCCTTCCTTTTTCTTGTTATTAAAAACTTTTATGAGACAAGTTATCACAATGACTTCTCGCCACGTACTAATTTTATTTAATTCTGTGACATATATGTATATATTTTTTTATGTTTTATATGACTCTGATATGTACTTTACAACATTATTTGAAATTCTACGATTTATAATATATGCAATATTGTTCTCTTATTTCAAAAGTGATACATCTAAAAAAATTAAAGGAAAAACTATTTTTCAACTTAACAGAAAATTATTGTTTAATCAAATAATGTTGGTAAAAGGAATATACTGTTAGAAACATGAAATATTATTTTTATCATTTTCGGTTTAAAATATTTTAAAAAAGAATCCTTTTTTTTGAGTGTGAATCTTGATATTTTATAAAATTATAACACAAATCCGGAATAATTCATCAAAAATGATACAGCTCGAAATATTCCCGACAGTTTATATTTACTTTTTGATCAGCTAAAACGATTAAATATAGAACAAAACAATTTCTTCAAATTTCAATCATCATAACTGACTTGATTCTAAATATTCTCTGATGAAGATGTTCCTTTTTATTTACAAAAACGATACAATTTAAAATGTGTCACTCTTGTGGACGATATTATAATCTCTTTGAAAGTCTTAAGAGAACGACAAAAATGCTATTTGGTAAACGAACTATAAATTTAAGTTTGTTTATTTTAGACGATTGATAGAGTTTTTATACCAAGCTCATTTGTGCTAATAAATATAAAATTACATTTTTTGAGTTGTGTCACTTTTGAAGTAAGAGAACGATATTATCTTGTTATGTTACATGTGTATTAACGGTATAAAAGTAATCGCTAATACATAACATACAGTCATATGCGCGTAATGTGTACGCGTATAAGAAAGGCAAGAAATGATTTTGCGTGCCGTAGAGCTGCGCCGGAAATGATTTCCGTCATTAAGAGAAACTCGACCATCAAAGCGCTGGAGATCGCGCGAGCCGCGAGAGATATGCTAGGCGGAAATGGGATCTCGGACGAGTAGTACCATGTGATTAGGCACATGATGAACCTGGAAACGGTCAACACTTACGAAGGTAACACTTACGCGAGGATCGTCCCGAGAAGATCGGCGATCATTTAGTACGTTGTTAACGGATCGCGTCATTCGAGACTATTTTCTTTTTTCTTTTCTCTCTTCCACAGGTACAAGCGATATTCACGCTTTGATTCTCGGGAAGGCGATCACTGGTATTGCTGCGTTCTCAGGATAAGCAACTCAAGTATCCGAATGATAAGACTGCCTTTGTACGCCACGAGCGTTTGACATGCTTGTGCCTCAATTTTTTTGTCTGTACGATCATTTTAACCTTTGAGTAGTGGGTATGTGGGTTGATCACAGCTCTTCAAAAAGACAAGTTTTCTTAACCTTCCAGAAATGACATTGTCAACAAAAAATAATTTTTTTGCTGATTTTATTTAAAAAAGTCTTGCAAGTTAATAATCGATTGAGATGTATATATATATATTTTTTTTTATCGATATATATAGCCTTTCAGGCGATTAGAAGTACTATATATTTCAATATTCACATGCATTTCCACCTTTATTAAGCTTACAAATTGAAAGTAAAATCAAATTGGAAATATTTAATACTTTCTTTGTACTTGTTCCGGAATTCTCGTTACTTTCAAATATTCACCGCGACGACCGTCAATAGCTCATCAACAAAACGCGTATATATCTCGCTCTTATTCTAATCACGCTGTCTTTCTCATATGGCACGCGCCCCCCTTGCGCGACACCCGAAAAACTGACTTTCGCGCATACGTTTCGCGTGCAAAAGATCAGTTCGCTTCCCGATCCACATCAATACGGATCAATACTATCTTT